GAACAATGCAAGCTCAGAAGAGCAGATCAAACATTATTTTAAGAAATAATATTTTAGAGAATGATTTGCTGAATAAAAACCAACCTTCTGGATAATTAAATTTCAATGTTTAATTAGCTGTCTCTAATTAATATAATATCTAAGGAAATATTACTGAATATTAAAAACTAAAACTAAAAAACTAAATATTAAATATTTAAGAAAATATTATTGTAAAGGGGAACCATCAACCTTTCTGGAAAAATGATTCTTAATGGCGTTTAATTAGCCATCACATTTAGTAAAATAACATTTAGGGAAAAAATATTTCCCAGTTTGGAAACTAATAACCTTTCTGGACAATTAATTCTTAACTAGCCCTCACCTGGCAACAAGGAAAACGTCTGGCCAGCCTAGCCTTAGCGGTTTCAGCCTAGCCTATAGCTTCCCTAAAGTTAAACATGTAATAATAAAAAGATTACAATGTGTCGACGGCGCATTATGACCGATCTATGTTTAAAACCACTTTAAATAAAATTTGTCTTAACTTTTAAACACAACACAGAACAAATATTTAGCGTCAATGGCTTGAAGCTTGTTCACATTGATTGAGCAGATAGTCTGCTAGCACTTACATAGCTGAGTTTTCTCAACACAAACACACACAAAAGTCATGAAATAAACAGTGTTTAGATTATTTCCTCCTTTACTCATTTTCTCTGCCCAAACACCACCACTTACATGAGCCTGTCCTGAAGAAGTGGTTCCATAGGGTGAGGGTTTAGGGAAGCGAAGGTGTCCAGCCTGATCCAGCCTCACAATGGGCAGAACAATGGACCGTTGCAGCTACTTCAGTGACCGCAATGCGGCAGGGTAGTACCCGCTACCTGGACGCGCACGCAGGAAGGTGTGCGATGCTGGCGGCTCCTACGCCATCCTCCTTCAGGCAGCGGGGAAAACTACTTCAATTAGAGACAACATCTCTGCTTGGAGCTTTCTGGAACACAGGTTGCTACTGTAGGCCTCAGGAAAAAAAAAGTCAAGCTATGCTCTTCCTTGGCTGAGCTAGAAGTAGGTTAACGTGACTTTTACAAAGGTGCAGAGAGGTTCCTACCAGCATCTAAATAAATTAAAATAAAATAAATAAAATTGATTCTATTAAGAAGAAAATCTTTGACATACTCCTGAAAATGATTACTTCATCCTCAACAAGTGAGACAACATTGGAAATAACTGTAGAACCTGATCTGTGTTTGGACTGTTTTGATCTTCCTGAGTTTGATCTTCCCTCTTGAGCTTCCTGAGTTATCAGAAATATTAGCTTCATCTAAACCTTCAACTTGTATGTTAGACCCAATTCCAACCAAATTATTTAAGGAAGTGTTTCCTCTGATTACCAGCCCCATTTTAGATATGATTAATTTATCTTTAGTAAATGGATCAGAACCACAAGCTTTTAAGGCCATCAGTGGGCTCTAGATGGACAAACTTTAAAAGTTTATTATTTTACTGAGTGCCCCTACACGTGGCCCATTCTGGGGTGGCCGGGCTCTGGCACTCGGTGGTTTGGTCTGGCCTCCCCGGCGGCTCCGCGTCGTTCCGGACCCTTTGTGGGGTGCCTTGAGACGACATTGTTGTAAATAAGTGCTATATAAATAAACAAACTGAACTGAAACTATCTCTGTAGTTATGCTGCTATAGGCTTAGGCTGCTGGAGGACATAATGACCACTTTCACCCTCTTTACTACATTCCCACACTACTGTCCAATTTTGCATTATTTGCTGTTATTTCAGCTTTATGGAGGGGGGGGGTATCGTCCAAGCCTCTGCTGGCAACAACTTAATGCTCACCCTCTACCGATGATCCACAAGGCCCTGTCTTTCAGTGTTTAACCCTTTCTCTCTCCTAGACATGGCGATTGACTAAGCTTTTGCTATAACTAACTCTCTATGTGCTATCTTCAGACTCTAATAGACTCCATAGAAAGGACTACTGGATCAGTGCTTCTTTGTTCTCTTTGTGTCTCTGCTCTGTTCTCTCTTACCCCCAGTCGGTCGTGGCAGATGGCCGCTCACACTGAGCCTGGTTCTGCTGGAACAATTCAGTCTACAACTTTTTGATTGGTCTAAAGTGATATTCTAATTTCTGGAGACACTGAAGTTTGGATTTTCCTTACCTGTACGACATAACCATCAAAATTACAAGAAACCAGGACTTTGAATATATAACTCTAAGTGTAATGATTCCATATAATATAAAATAATAATTAACTTTCTGAGATGACTGGCAAAAAGGTTTTGCACTTTTACACAATTTTCTAATGTTTTGAGATGTACCTGTGAATCACATGCATTTCAACCAAATGGTTTGTCTCCTGTGTGGGCTCTCATGTGTATGTTTAAATGTGACTTGTAGGCAAATCTTTTTTCACATGCATCACAAGCAAAGGGTTTGTCTCCTGTGTGGATTCTGATGTGTTTGTCTCCTGTGTGGATTCTCATGTGTTTGTCTAAATTTGACCTGTACGTAAATCTTTTTCCACAAACATCACAACCAATGGGTTTGTCTCCTGGGTGCATTCTCATGTGTAAGGCTAAGCGTGACTTTAAAGCAAATCTTTTTCCACAAACATCACAACCAAAGGGTTTGTCTCCTGAGTGCATTCTCATGTGCAAGGTTAAGCGTGACTTTTCAGTAAATTTTTTCCCACAAGTATCACAGCAAAAGGGTTTATCACCTGTGTGGATTCTGATGTGTATGTTTAAATGTGACTTGTAGGCGAAATTTCTTCCACATGTATCACAACCAAATGGTTTGTCTCCTGTGTGGGTTCTCGAGTGTCTGTTTAATTGTGACTTGTAGGCAAATCTTTTTCCACAAGCATCACAACTGAAGGGGGTGTCTCCTGTGTGAGTTGTCATGTGCATGTTTAATAGTGACTTAGATGCAAATCTTTTTCCACATGTATCACAACCAAAGGGTTTGTCTCCTGTGTGAGTTGTCATGTGCATGTTTAGTTGTGACCTGGAGGCAAATCTTTTTCCACATGTATCACAACTAAATGGTTTATCACCTGTGTGGATTCTGATGTGTTTGCCTAAACTTGATTTGTAGGTAAATCTTGTTCCACATGCATCACAAATGAAAGGTTTGTCTCCTGTGTGGATTCTCACGTGTGTGTTTAAATGTGACTTGTACGCAAAATTTTTTTTCCACATGCCTCACAAAAAAGGGGTTTCCCCCCGGTGGACTTTTGTGTGTCTTTTTAGGTCTCGTTTCAAGTTAAAACTTTTACCACACTCGCCACAGTTAAAATATTTACCACCTGTCTGTTCCTTCGTCAGTGAATCTATGTTTTTCTTTTCTCTGAAACACGTCTCATTACCAGAACAATCTGAAGACGTCAATCTTGGATGACATGTCATGTGACTATGAAGAGAGCGTCTGTTAGCAAATTTTCCTCCACACTCAGAGCAGCTCAAAGATTTGTTGACAGTGTTTCTGCCTGATCCTGGAGTCCTGCTCTCCTTCCAATAATCCTCACTGTCTTCAGTTTCAGAGTCTGACAAGCGTTTAAGCTCAGATTCATGATGCTTCACATCATCATCCTCTTCATCATCTTCACTGTCTTCAGTCTCTGAATATTCTGAAGTGTCTCCATGAGTATTTAGATCTGGGTTCATGCTGGATTCTGCTGTCCCACAGTTGTCTACTTTAATTTCTGCTTTTATCTGGTCACCTGAGCTGCTGCTTGGAAGATCTCTGTCTTCTGCTTGGTGTAGATGAAACAGAGAGAACAGAGGTTTTTTTCCCTCTTCACTCTTCATATGAACAACAGTTAATGGAAACTGGTATCATCAGTTTTCCTTCTCCACATTCAGTTGTTTTTTTTCCATTTTTCCTTGGCTGGTCCAGATTCTTTTACTTTCCTCCTTTATGTGGTGGAGCTCCAGCTCCTGCTGGTCCATATCAGGAATCTGTTCTTCAGGAGCCTCTTCTTTAACATCTGCAGACATCATTAAAACCATTACAGGCATTATGAAAACTTTTATCTTGACAATGTTACAAAGATGATAAAGATTTGAACTAGAGAAAAAAAAAATCACAGAAATATTATCAGTGAACAGTACAGCGGGTTGTTGGGATCCAGCTATGGGTTACAACAGTAAAGACCAGTAAGAACTTTTCTGCAACTCTCAAAATAAATCGCATGAATCTACTTCCAGCACCCCGAGGAAGAGGAACAATTCGGGTAACAGCGGACTTCCCATTGCTGTTTGAATAAAAACCCCACATGCCAACAGGCAGACCTCTTCCACGCAGGTCCCCAGCGAAACTGGAACACCGCGCGCTAATGTCTCTTTGCTGGCAAGCAGCCATAACTCTTCAAACTGGATCCAAGAGTCATATGATCATGCGATTATATGCACAAAGATAAGGAGGAATGAATTGCTGTTTGTGTATCCGGTATTCATTCATGAACAGGCTAATTAACGTGCAAGCATGGCTTGACTTTTCTCTCTGAGGTCTACAGAAGCAAACTGTGTTCCAGAGAGTTCCCAGCAGAGACCCTGTCTCTACAACACCGAGTGGAGCCGTTTTCCCAGTCTGAAGGAAGGACAAAGGTACCGCAACACAGCAAGCCGCTCTACGTGCAGTTTCACACAGCTACGGAGGTTATCTGTAAGATAACCCCTTGTTCACCATGGTGCTTTCTTTCCAAACTTGCTTCCCAGGGACAACTTTCCTCAGCACAGGTTAATGAAGAGGTTAGTGTTTGGCCAGAGAAGATTAGTTTTTGGTTTTAAATCATCTCAAATGTTCGTTTTAATAATGTTTGATTTTGTTTGGGTTTAGAAACTCAGCCACAGGGAAAAATAGCAGGACTAGCACTCAGCCCAAGGGGTGTGTTCTTTTTTAAAAAGGGGGATTTTTAAACACAGAAGACCGGCCATAATGCACCCTCCACGCTTATGCATTTCAACCCCCTTTTATAAGTGGTATTTTAAAAAAGGGGGGGCCCCGGTGGCGCCCGTGGGAGCACTGTTGCCCTCGCAGCAAAAGGGGCTGGGTTTGATTCCCGGCCAGGGGGCTTTCTGCATGGAGTTTTCATGTTTTCCCCGTGGGATGCGTGGGGTTCTCACGGGGTAACCCCGCTTCCTCCCCCCAGTCCCAAAGACATGACTGTTAGGTTATGGTCTCCCTAAATTGCCCTTAGGTGTATGAATGAGTGTGTGCGTGGTTGTTTGTTGCCCTGCGATGGACTGGCAACCTGTCCAGGGTGTACCCTGCCTCTAGCCCATAGACTGCTGGAGATAGGCACCAGCTTCCCCGCGACCCACTATGGAATAGAAAATGACTTTTAAAAGTATGTGTTTGATTCTGGTAACCAGCTACAAGTGTCTTTTGTTAGCTCCAACCGCTAACGGCTAAGAACACGTTCTCGCCTACTTTATGAGTCAGCTGAAGATCATTTACCCAGAAAGGTTGTTAGTTTTCAATCTGGGAAATAATATTTTCTTAAATATTAGTTTACTAAACTTGATAACTCATTAAACACCATTAAGACCCAAGTACTCAGAAAGGTTTGATTCTTATTAAAATTAATATATCCTTAAATATTATTTTAATATTTCCTTAATAATGTTTCTATAAATATTACTTTAATAAATAAAGGCAGCTAATTAAACACAATTAAGACCCATTTATCCAGAAAGGTATGGTTCATATTTAAAATAATAATTCCTTAAATATTATTTTAATACATACATATTAGTTTAATAAATTAAGGCAGCTAATTTAAGACCCATTGGTAGTTGCTTGGTAGTTTAGTTGGATTGTTTTAGCATAGTGAAGAGTTTGTTAATTAAAATGTTTGACTCTGAGTTGACTTTTTTTTGTTAATAAATTCTTGTATTTTAGGAAATTGTGTGAATTCATTCTGTGTGTGTACAGAGTTTTGCTGTTCAATAATGTCAGAGCTTGGCTCACCCTTTCAATTTTGTCCTAATACCACCACCCTATTGGGCTGGTTTTCACTGGACAACTCTTAACAGATCGAAATATTATTTAATAAAATATTAAAGTATTCATATTAAATAATATATTCATATTCATAATCACAACTGGGTAAAATCAGAGATGCCACAATGGTGTGAGTATCTTAAGTGTAAATATTACAGTTTCAGTGTTGTGGTATAAATACGAAATTCTTAAACGGAAATTTATACAATGAATGTATTGCCTTTCTCTAAAGCTAAAAAAGAATCATTATTACATAGTTGATAAAAACATAAAAACATCCAGTATATTTATTATTTTGTACATAATGATTTTTTATTACTTGTGATGCTTTTTTTTTTAGACACTTGATGCTTTGGATTGGTTATGATTTTATTCAATGTCTTGAATCTCTTTACTCCTCCCTTATAGATACATGATTTTTAAGGCAAAGACATTTTTTCTTTAGGTACGATATACAGCAAATCTAAGATCAACTGCAAAAGAGAAACTTTGCTGCTGGGTATTTTTAAAACAGCTCATCTCAACTGTCCTGTTGACACAGTTGTGCATCAGTACACATGGCAAAGCCTGAATAAACACACAATGTAATTCAGTCAAACAAGCCACCTAGTAACTTATCCAAATAGGAGTAGGAGGAGTATCAACCATCTTTCAATCAGATTTAATGATTAGACCCAGACCAATTAATAGCTAACCCTAAGTCTTTTGAATATTTAACCCTTAGTTTTCCTCATCCAAATTGCAAAGCACAAAAACCACTTCAGTTTGTTTTGTACCGTCCACCATACCAGCCCTTATTCTCAATTTTTAGTTCAGTTCTCAGACTTTTTATCTGATTTAGTGTTTAATAAAGATAAAGTCATTATAGTGGGGGATTTTAACATTCATGTTGACAACTGGCTTTGCACAAAAGATATGCAAACCTACCCACTTTTGTCTTCATTCTCTGGACCTTTTGCTGACATATGGATTAAGTTTTAAGAAAAAATACAGTATTTCCTTATAACCCTGTCATGCCTGGCCATTTTTTAATAACCTTTGAGTTTCATTTAACCGAATACTCCAAACGAAAAAAAAAATTTAATTATAGTAGATCATTATCAAACATTGCTGTAACAAGCTTTAAAGAATCAGTTCCATTTTTTATTTCGTCATCATAACAGAAAAAACACAGATGAGCGCAATAATGTTGTTCCTTCCCCTTCACAAATTGATTATCTTGTTCATAGTGTTACTTCCTCATTGCGTGGTGCATTAGATCAGTGATTCTTTAGGACCTAGGATTCTATTACGACCCAGGTGCAAAATACACCAAGCTTACATCAACCAAAAGCACAAAAAAAGACACAATAAAATAACTACAGGTGGGAAAGACTAGAGCAGGGGTGTCATTGCTGTTTACCTGCACATCGTTCCACTACACGGAGGAAGAGAGAGAAAAGTGACAGCAGTTTCCACTCTGCCAATCTATCAAAGCTTTTCAAGGACAAGCAAGCTTAGCTCTTAAAGTTCAGTTAATGAAAACAAAGTAAAACTTATATAGTGAGCCTGAACATTATTTTTGAACATTAGTGTTCTGTTGTTGATTTTTTAGGTTTAAATGTCTGCTTATTGGGGACTTACTGAAATACCTCCAGATTTTGTTAAAACAAAGGCAGGTTTATTATGTATGTTGATTTTGTATTTAGATTACTTATTCATTTTCACTGCAACAGAGTTATCTTATGTTTAATTTGAGCTGAAAAGAATAAAATGCCTAAGAACTAAATGTTCAAGTTAAAGAGATTAAATACAATGATTTTCTTTCAATAATCATTTGTTGTACATTCTGCTAACACTTTTGACTGAGGGCAGAATTTCCCCACCATTATCCAAGGGGGCGCCCCGCCCTGCCAACAAGGTAGTAACAGTACGTTTTCACAGTTAATGTAATTCATTTTATTAGATCACATCGTTAACGATATCTGTCCCTGCGTCGTTGCTACTTTCTATGACCAAACTTGACAAAAGCTGGACGAAAACACACTTCTCAGACTCTGTGTCACCCACGCTGACAGACACTGACACGCTGAGTTACGTGCGCTTGCAGGTGAACATGCAGCTAAAACCTGGAAAGCAGTGTTGTGATTAGTATTATGAAAATATTAATTAGGAGAGGTGATGGGTTGCTGAGATCTTGCGAGAGTTGTGCATAAGTAATTTGGCGGTATACTGGTAAACAAACACAACAAAACTCAGGTAAAACAAGCCAATAAAATCAAGCTGAACAATAGAACGGTGTAAAATACTAACCACTGTCTTAGATTTTCCCAATAAAACAACCCGGATGATGAAACTTTAGACAGCATGGCAAGCCACAAAAATCTCTACCCATGGCAACACCAACATCACAATGCACCCGTAAATAAAGCAGGTGTTCAGAGAAAATAAAAAAATGAAAGAGACCATCCTGGATATACAGGCTCGTGGCAGGCGGGACTACCATGTCTTCTCCGGCATCCCAGAACGTGCAGAGGACGCCGCCGAATCCACGGTCTGTGAATTTCTCCAATGTTAACTGAAACTCCTAAGTGATGAGGTTAAAAACATCACATTCCATCGTGTTCATCGGCTCAGAGGTATGAAGCCCGATCACAACAGACCTCGGGCAATTGTAGCAAAGTTTGAGAACTACAAGCAAAAAGAGCAGGTCAGAAGTTGGGGCACAGAGCTGCGGGGAACGAACTTACTTTAGTGTTAATGACCAGTTCCCAAAGGAGATCTTCGATTGGAGGCATGTGTTATTCCCAATCATAAAGAAATATATCACCGAAGGCATCAGAGCTACACTGGCTGTAGATAAACTTCATGTCAATGGACAGTTGATCAGGGACCGGGAGATCACGCCGTGGCTTTATTAGGAGCAACAGCAGGTTAATCTGAAACATGTAACACTGGTTAGATAAGAGATTGGATAACTGGCAAATGTAATCTAATGTAAAGCACAGCTCAGCATGATGTTTACATTGTTGGATGTGGGCGGGGCCAATGCTGGGCTTTTAGGTATCTGCTCCTTTTTGTCTCCTCTCATCTACCTGTCATTTACTCTCCTTACCGCACCTCTCTGTCACTCTTTTTTCTTTCTGGCACACAGAAACATGCAAACTCACACACAAATATTTCTTAACATAACCTTATATCTTTCACCACCTCTTACCCCCAGCACCTTCTTAATTTTCTGTCTTTTTCTCTGCTATATCTCTGCTTCTGGACTTCATATCAGGCAACCCCAACCACTAACTATGATTGCACCTGGGTCTATCTGTTTCAGTAGTGACACACATACAACTATTGGCACACTAAGGTTTGTCACATGGAATGTGCAAGGAGCCGCCACCAGAAAGAAAAAGTAAAAATGTTTTAATCAGCTTAAAAGCCTACAGGCAGACAATGTCTTAGAGAATCATAAATCTGCCACAGCTGCAAATTATCTTAAATCACCTGCTTTTCCCAATTTGTTTACTGCCTGCTATAATTCTAGGCAAAGGGGAGTAGCAATCTTAATTCACAAAAATGTTAACTTTACAGTATTAGACACAGTTACAGATCCAGAGGGTAGATTTATAATAATAAAAATATCTATACAAAACCAAAAGATATGTATTGTCAGTATATATGCCCCAAATGTTGATGAACCCCTAATCTTCCATTCTTTTTTTTGTGCACTGTCTGTACACTTTGATTGCTCACTTCTTCTTGAGGGCGACCTCATCTTTGGTCTAAATGAAGAAATTGACAGGCACACCACAACAGACACTCAGTGCAGTTGGCAATCAATAAATATAGTTAAACAGTACATGAGTGATTACGGACTATGCGATGCATGGTGATCTCTTCACCCTAATCACAGAGAATATACTTTCTTCTCGCATGTCCATCACTCTTACTCCTGTCTGGATTATTTCTTTGTCAGCAGCTCGTTGTTGACTGACATTTCAGACACTGAGATACACCCAATAGCTGTAAGCGATCATTCACCCGTCTCTTTAACTCTATAAGAAGGAAAACCTACAAAGCAAAAACTGGAGGTT